AATTTTTATGTACACACAAGCATTTTTGTTTTCATAAATGAGTAAACATCTAGAGAAAATAAGTCTTCTGAAGTCTTATTATTTTAGATAAATAATTTGTATTTTTCAATTTTTAAAATCAAAATATATGTTGCCAAAACAGAGTTTAAGTAGGAGAAGCAATAGACATGAACTTTGTTTAATTTAAGCAGAAAATTGCTTTACTAAAGGATATTGGTAGTACATAGAATCTTACTTAAAAAAATTAGTATTGAAAGCTTCATGGCTATGAAAAATTATCCAAAATTACAGACTGGAACTAGGCCCATGAAGATATTGTTGTTTCTCTGTCTGCTACCTTTATTGCTACTATCATTAATCCCCAGTTTAAAACTAAGTAGCTAGAAATTCATTCTCTAAAAACTGGATATATTAACCTCTGCTACTCTGAAGGTTGCTTCAAAGTTATACTTGTCTTTTTAATAACTCCCAATTCTAGCTTAGATACAGTGCAATCGATAGTAAGAGTAAAGATGACATATCTAAATCCTCATGAGCAAGAAAGCAGAGATAGTAAACAAATGCCCTTGATATTAAGAGATGCACTCAAGGAGCAGAGAAACTGAAATACCTAAAATAGGTCTGGGTTTCCCTTGAAATAAAGATTATGGGCTTCCTTTAAAAAGGAATATATGGGGATTTAAAAAAAATTGTATTAAGTTTATTGGTACATGTTAGGTATATAATACAGTTACATTCATCATTGGGATCGTGTACCCTTACAAGACTCATCTTGGTTCTTACTTTTCCCCATTCCCCTGTCCTCCCTTCACCCTCTCCACCATCCCCTGTTTAGAAAGATATTATTTCCATGTTTTTTCTTTTTACATACTTTTTCTTTTCCCTTTTTACCTTTCCCCTACCGCTCCCACTTCCTCTACTCTTTTAGACCTTTTCTTCCTATTATACAATATCAAATGTACATTTTAAGCTTCTTTTCACTTTTAGTTTTTCACACCAGAGGAACTATTCAGTATTTACATGTGTGATACTAATTTCACTTAGTGTGGCCTCAATGTGCATCCACTTAGCTATAAATATTTCTAGTTTCTTGTTCTTTATGGCTGAGTAGTACTCCATTATATAAAAAAAACAACAACAAACACCACATCTTCTTTATCCAGTCTCCAGTTGATGGGCAATTGGGCTGTTTCCGAAGTTTAGGTATTCCAAACTGTGCCTGTAAATACAGGTGAGAATGTATCTCTGTAGTATGATTCTTTTAATTATTTTGGGAAGATACCCAGCAGAGGAATAGATGGGTCAAAAGGAACTTCTAATCCTAGTTGTTTGAGGTAACTCCATATTGATTTTCACAGGGGTTGCATGAGTCTGCACTCCCACCAACAATGGAGAAAGCTCCCTCTCTCCCCACGATCCTGCCAACATCTGTTATTGGTTGATTTATTGATAGCAGCTATTCTTTCTGGGGTCAGACTGAATCTCAGTGTTGTTTTTATCTGCATCTCTCCAATGACCAGTGATGTTGAACATTTTTTCATATGTTTATGTACTGCTTTTACTTCTTTGTCTGAGAAATGTCTGAGGATTTTAGCAGACTGGCAAAAATTGATTATGTGGAAAGTTCTTCAGAAAGAACAAACTGAGCACATTTGTAGATCATATGAGAGCCACGTGAAAATATCTCACTAAAACTCATGAAAAAGAAACAAAGGCTTTGGAAGAAGTATAAAATGTTTTTGAGTTTAAAAATAACACAAATAAAAGCATCTTCATACATCTTAGTTAAAATATCAGTAAATTTAAATGTAATATATTAATAAATTGAAAAAGGCAGAAAAACATCAAAATCATTTTATAGATTTCCCATTGAATTACAGGAAAATAATAAAATAAAATTAGTGGAGATGTTAGGTAACAAAAGCATAATTTTAGAATTTGTCTTTAATTATTACAGTGACATTCAGAGAGCTAGGAACAAAATGCCAACTAAGTGTGGAAGGCTCTGATTCATACTCCCACCCAGTCATATGAAAAGAAAGCTTCAAATAAAATAAAACAAGAAGGGAAAATAAAATGGTTTCATCTCTCCCCAAAATAATAAAGCACCCATCTACACTACCATTAATTCTGACTCCTGAGACAGATCTAACGAGGCTGATTAGAAGAGATACTCACAGAAGAATCCCTGAAAATACAGGTATAATGAGACAGAGGAAGTACTCACACCAAGAAGCAGAAAGTCAGTCTGAAAGGGAATCCATCTAGATCAATCCCAATATCTGAGTCCTTGAAGAGGGGAAGTGGCACTGCTATTCTCTAGTGTCTCCCCTGCCCCTGCCCCCTCCAGTTAGCAGCCCTTGGAAAGCAGTTTTAATAGCCTGAGGGAGGGAAGTAGCCCTGAAGAGGCCAGACTTTTATGATGGACTTTTCCTTTTCTGGCCTCTTTCCCCCACTGTCCAAAACAAATATCTGGGACAACAGAGACCCGGTGGCATCTTCTCCACCCATCACCATTAACAGGGGAAGCCCCACTAGTCTAGGAAAACAGGGATGGGTGAAAACATTGCAAAGGCACATCCTGGATACACAGAGGAGGGAGTAAGACTCAACAGTTGGTCTGGACTGGGCTCTTATCCGTCATTTCCAAGAGATGGAACACTTTTTGAACAATGACTACTGTCATATGCAGAGTGAAAAGAACCTTTAACCAAGCTTGGAGTCTGAATCTGACTCAACTGGATGGAAGGGGAGCTGTTGAGACAGGGTTATTTTAGGATCTGAGTGCAAAGGATAAGAAAGGGTCTGCTGAGGAAGAAAACTGGAGACAATTGAGGGGGAAAATCTCTGAAGCTAGAACGTGGAGATTTTCCCAACACCAAGGAGAGCAGGAGTTGTACAACACTGGCAGGAGGTGAAAGGGAGTTCGGAGTCAGGAAAAAGAAATCACGTTCTCCTTATTGAGGTGGCTGGATCTGGGGACAGAGACCGAAGGCTGCAGTGAAACCACATCCATAGCACAGCTTGCATTAAAAAGGTGACTCAAAGAGCCTGATATTCCCAGGCTGGCTGGCAAACAGTGTACAGGCAGGTGGGAAGTTGGTGTGACCGCCTGCCGACAATGGCAGTCAGAGCAGGAGCACGGCTGGGTGCACTCACAGGCTTTATGACAGCGCAGCCCTCTGAGATGCTCTGTGGAGTGCTTGTTCTAAGTTCCCACCGGGACTTGTTCTCTGGGTTTGTTGGTGTTGTTTTGTTTTCCCTCTCTCTTTTCTTCTCCTCATTCCTTTTCTTCAATTAATGTTTCTGTATCAGTACAATTTTAAAAAGATATTCCGGCTGCTTTTTATTTTTTCAAGTTTTCTTCTATACTGTGCTGTCTTGGCCAGCCTCTTTTCCCTTACTAACCTTCTGCCTTACATATCATATTCTTTTTGGCCTTCGTATTTTAGCTAATCAACTGTTTTCCCTTGAATCTTTTCCCTGTTCTATGTTATACATATATAGCAGGTGCCTGTATTTGTATAAAAGAGCAGATGAGCAGATCAGTGCTTCACATTGATTTGAATGGTAGTATCACATTCTTCTTGGGGTAACCCCTCACATAACAATGCTTAGAAGATCAAACAAAACTAATCACAAATATATCCACCCAGAAGTTTTCCTTAGTTCTGAAGTACACCTTCCTCCCCCTTGCTGCTGCCTCTACCTGCAAAAATATTTCCATAAACCTCCCCCTTAGTAACAAACACAGTGTAGTAAAGTTTGTAGCAGACATCCTTGACCAGTACTAGTGGGCTATACGTGGCACATGCATTTCACTTTCCCTAATTTGGCTATATTGTTTCATATCAGGACAATGTTGTTTTATATTTGACAATGGGCATGTCAGATAGCAGAGTTGAGCTAGTATTGCTCCTTTTAATGGCTGTCACTGAGGCCTAAGTACTGCTCTGTGAAGTGGCAAGGCTATGCTGAGTTATGTAAAGCTGAGGTCATCATGACCCCAGTTAAAATCCTTTTCCTTCAAATTATAACGTCTCACTGACCTGATGGGTTGCTTGCTAATTGCACCAGATCACAGTACCTGTTTGTTCTGAAAGAAAAGCAGTGCTTACTCCCTTGTACCCCTGCCTGGTGCCATCTTATCAGATGTTCAGCAGTATTTCACTAGATGCCCTCAAAGTATACCCTGCTCTCTATTCCTTCCCATGGTTGTATTCAATAAATTTTAAATGCATGTCGGAGACTTTGTCTTTGTTTCCT